ATAAAAAAACGACGTTAATGACGGCGACGACAGAAACAATAGTAACAATGTCAACAAATACAAAAACAAATTACGATGACGATAAATCAAGACAACAATAGCAACAATAGCATCAACAACATGGCAATATAAAAACGAATAACGACGACATCCAATTAAGACAACAACACTAACAGAAACATCAACAATAACAACAAATTCCAACAAAGACATCAATAATAACAACAACTCCAACAAAGACATCAACGGTAACAACAACGCCAACAGAAACATCAACAATGACAACAATGACAACAACGCCAACAGAAGCATCAACAATGACAACAACGACAACAGAAGCATCAATAATAACAACAACGCCAACAGAAACATCAACAATAACAACAACAAAAGCATTAACAATGACAACAGTAATAAGGACGATAAAAACAACAAAGACGACGTTAATGACGGCGACTACAGAAACAATAGTAACAACGACAACAAATACAAAAATAAATAACGATGATGTTAAATCAAGACAACAATAGCAGCAACAACATCGACAACATGGAAATACAAAAACGAATAACGACGACACCGCAAATTACAAAAATGTCGTATTTTTTATCCAAATCAACTTGAACTTATCTTAACTCTGTTTTCCTTGGTGTTCAAAGAATTGTAAACAAACTTTTCGTAACAACGAAAAAAACAAAAAAAATACCGTAGAATTCCACTTAACGAAGATACATTGTAACGATAAACAACCCGCGCGTAACTTGTCTCATTTCAACAATCACGCAACTTGACTCGTTAAATAATATCTTTTTTTTCCCGTCGATTTTAAACACATAACAAAATTGTTTGTTTTTTTTTTTTATATATAAATATTAATAACCCCATATTCCGATCGCGAAGCACGATTTTATCTCGCGAATTACGAACCTATCTCTTCGCGTCACTGATGCGGACGATAGTTGCATAATTATTATGCCGATTTTGAATTCGAACACCGAGTTGTTGCATTCTTGATTCAACAGGCAAATCGACCGCGTAGTGAATTTTCGTACACCGACGCACTTCGACCTCGATTATTTATTGACTTGATTGCTGTCACGATCGCGAAAACGATCGAACTGACACGAATTCGGCGAACGATGCAAACTGAAAGACTGCACAGTTCGTCACCCGAATTATCACGCTTTCTAAATCTTCGAAGCGGAGAAAAACTTTCTCCGTGACTCGTCGGGCCATTGAACAAAATCATTAGGATCGTTTTAAGACGTAAACGAAAATTGACGAGCGATGGGTCTTCCTGTAAAAAGTTTATGCTATGCGTGCCTTGCACAGAGTTAATCACACGATTATCTAAAAAAGCAAAATTATATTTTATAACAATAACAATAGTAATAATAACAACAGCAGCAACAATGACAATAAGAACAAAAACAGCAACAATAATAACAATGACAGCTACAGTAACAATAGTAACAAAAACAACAACAATAATAATACAAACAACAATAACAATAGCAATAATAACAACAGCCCCAACAACGGTGACGACAATAACAGTAACAGCAATAAGAATAAAAACAACAATAATAACAATAACAGTAGTAGTAATAACAACAGCAACAACAATGATACTAACAGCAATAGTAGCAAGAACATCAACCATAGCAATAAAAATTATAATAATAACAAGAACAGCAACAGCAATAAGGATTAAAACAACAACAATAATAACAATAACAGTAGTCCAAATTGTGTGCCAATATCTTGAATCCACACTCGGGCAAAGTAACCTTGTAAATGTTTAATTAGAAAAAGATTTATTCAAAGCTGTTCGAATACACCGAACTGCGAGTCTCGCGTTGCATCACGGCGGGAACTCTTGAAAAAATATATGTATAATCGTTTTGTTGTGCACGATGATTGGATGAAAAAAAGAATCATGGATTAAACACGGTGAATTATCAAGAATTCTATTTCCAATAGATCGGCTGTAACGAACAAAAACGACCGATTAAACGAGTCAAATTACTTCGGGGATTAATATTCTTTGCTCGCCGGAGCGGCTGTCTATTAGATTTTAATTGTCTTTCAGTGTCTGACCGCGGATGAAAAGCCCGACACCGTAATTCGAGGCTAAGAATTCTGTGAATCGGCCATCATGAAAAGTTTCCAAACCGATCGTTCGTAAAATTTATTCCAACAATTTTAAACGCGTCTTGCCGATCCGCTGCGGCGACGAGTCGCCAATAGTTGCTGGTCAATCGTTTATCACGATGTATCGCTTACGGTAAATTAATATCGTAAGAGGTGGTTAAAAGTACGATGTGATATAACGATACGTTGCACAGGTGCGTTGTACACGTTAATTAACTAAGCTTAGGTCAAGTAACAAAGCTTAGTATGTGGACACGGCGGCCACATCTCCGGTAACATACAGGCTATTTCAAAATAGCGTGTCAACATTGTGAGAAATATGCATTTCTAAAACGATCGATATTATTGGGCACCCTTGGCCCTGCGTGTACTGCGCAGGCGTGAACGAGTGAGTGCTACGCGTGCGTTGCTCGGCGTCTGTTGGCAGCAAGATGGCTGACGGAAGCACGCGTGTTATCTCCGTTGAAGTATATTTTTGATTATTTGTTGTTAAAGTGATTCGTAATTTAACTACCACGATTCCAAACCCTGATCCAACCTCACCTCGGTATAATTCTGACGAACATCGACCAAACAAATCCCAAACGTGGGTAATATTTTATTCGAGTAGTAAATGAGAAATGAAAAAATCGATTTTTATTCTATTTCATTTTCTTAAGGTGTGTGACTGAAAACGTGTGTGCAAGATCATTTACCTCGATTCGTGAAAATGGCGATAACAAAAAGGTTTGAATATACTTCGATACCAAATATTTCGATGACGAGATAATTTCTGATACATACACCCTGTGTTCCTTTCTACGTTTTCTAAAAATGCAAATAAAGTATATAACTTTTCTATGAAATTGATAGGAGAAATTTTAAATGCATATAATTTTGAATAGATCTTTATCGCCGGAACTAGAGATTCTTAAAAATATTGAGTTTCGCTAGTTTTTTATTTATCGAAATTTTGAGTTCTCCCTAATTTCTGCAATGAGCACACCTTTTCCAATGAAGATACTCTCTTCCTTCCGCAATTTTTAATATTTTTAGACGAGAAATATAGCGTGTATGGTTGCAAGACAATGGCAAAATAACCAACCTGCCATTAAAAAAGAATTACAAAAGGAACCGAAAAAATAACAGTCTAGATAGCAATACCCCCTTAATCCCACCATTAATACCATACAAAGAAGATACTAGAAGAAACGGTCACAAATCTGTCTTACTAAACTAGCAATAGAGTACTTTGATAGTTGCATGATACCACAAAACAATGCTTGGGAATTGATGTGTATCTGCAGTAATAGTTATGTCACTGAATTAGTCCCACAGTTTGTCATTAATTTTGTCGATCTAACAAATGTAATCTGCCGTAATTAATGCACGAAGGGGATCATCCACTTTAACAGAAAGAATGAAAGAAATCTTATATTAACCGTGACGTAAATACAGTTACGTTTCTTCCTAAGGGTTTTTTCCAATTGTTATTTTGTATAGCTTAGTTTTTCAATCTAAACATCTAAAGAAATTCCACAATGTGTGTTTCGATATCCGAAACGTCACTGAATTTTTTCAGATTTTTGCATTCAGCAGGACAAAAGAAATTCTGCAAAAATGTGATTTTCTTTATCGTCCATTTTGGATTAGAAAATTGGCACAAAATGATTCCTTTCGATAAGCTATCGAATGGTCCATCCCACGTTAAATTTGGTTTGGGGTCTTTATTAAATGGCGGGATCTTCGTGGCCCCGTGCGCATCTAGTCTGCGCAGGAACGGAAAGAGCTGGAATTTGTGCAGGTCGGGACTGAGAGGCAAACGATTTCGAATTGCACAACAAGAGACAATCGCGTGTCACGTGAGTAGCAGGTAATTGACACGGTGGAAGGAAAAAAAAAAAAGATGGCACGCCATAATTGAAGATCAATTCGTGGGAGGAAGTCATTCGAGCCGACGACGCGCAGAAATCACTCGCATACACGTGTAAATCCTTAGCGGGTTGCGCGGAAGAGAAACGGCTCGCACTGTGGTATTATGCAAGACACGCGAAGCCGACCTTGGCAATGACCAGTAACTATGAATTGCACTGGCACACCAACGTACGTACGTCAGTCTGTGTCATTAACTCGCCGCTAGAGTAATTGTGCTCGCCAGATCGTAACAGACTTGAATCCTCTATGTAGGTATTCGCATAAAAAACCCGATCAAAAATCGATGTCAACAATTTTTTCTGTCCAAGATAGTCGAGTATGTAAAAAAAAAATACATCGATATTTTTGTTTTCATTTCTGTATTCATGAAACTTCAAACGCTTGCTGCCGAAGACTTTCGCGAAAAATTCAATACAATGAAAATTTTCGAACTGTTCTTTGGCAGTTTTAAATTCAATATTCGTCAAACACAATTTTACCATTAAGTAAACATGTCAATATCAATTTTATTAATTTACAGAACTTGTTAGCGTTTAAATGCTCAAAAGTGTGAATGCCACATAAGAACATATGGGCCAGACTGTAGGTCTGTGTCGCGTAAGAGGGCGTTGCTAGCGGTACGAGTAAGAATCGCGCGTACATTACGGTGGACTAGGGATTTAGGTACTTAAAAGATCCCTAGGATGTACCGTAGCTACTCTTGACGAAAACTTGTTGCGGGATTTATTTCGTTCTACTGAAATCTTTAGAAATTAGAATTTACATGTAATATCAAGCATCGTTGCTTTTTTCTCTACAAGAATATGGAAAAATTAATACATGAACGGTTCACAGAATTAAATGACAGAATTAATGACATCTTATCAGAGTCTAACTGCAGTGATCAACAAATGACTTTGATCTTCGCTAGATCAATGATAAATCAAAGAAAATTTGTAGTATTTGTTTTATTGAACTATTAACTTCTTTTTGCACTGTTACAATCCGTATAGCTTGATTTACACGTTAGACCACTATATATATACATATGTATGCCAATTATATACTGAAAACAGTAATTTTGAAAGTAAGAGGTTACTGCTCGTGTGACTCGATCATTTCTCTATAACGTTTTAAATCTAAAGAGCCTGTACTTCTTCTATAACTATAAGATGGGTAATCCTGACGTTCATCAATATACTGTTTAACTTGAACTTCCAAGTCCTTCATTCTTTTCTTTTCAAAGGCCTGCACACAGACACATATGTATTTCTCATATTCTTGCTGTCGATTCGGAGTAAAATATTTTACCATAAACCTTGTAATAGGCGACTGTAAAAAATATTAAACATTAAATCCAATTTCTTTGTTAATGTACGTGCAATGGATATTTCAGAAATAATCTTACTCTGAAATATTCCCAGGGCTTAGGATCATAGCCTTCTGGTATCGGTTCCAACGTAGCAGGCCCAATAAATACATTAGCGTAAAACATAATTGATAATGCTGGTATGGCACCCAGAAAGAAGTAAAAATGTAACCAGTCCTTGAGTTTTGTCCATTGCCATTCGCTTGGTGTTATCTTCATAGTATGTTCTTCCGACATGCATCGGATAATTCCTGCAAATGAAGAAATAAAATTATTTTATGATTGTGTACCCGTTACTCCTTGACGTTTATGCTATATTAACATTCAAATTCTCGTACGAGTAAGATATTAGCACAACCGGTAGAGTTACACTATGTTCGATATTCGTATATATTTATGATGCAGCAGTAACACAAAATATTTATTTGAATTAGTGTGCAGAAACGTTGCGTAATAAAACACTATCGGTTTTCATCGGCTGCTTTGCCTAAGATAGTTTGTTCCCGCTTCTTCATTTCGGAAATCTGTAATTACCATTTTTTGGCACTACTTTTTCCAATCCATTGGGTTTAAATAACTTTGGGCCACTGAACATCAAAAACCTGCTCAATACCGTCATCCTGCCCTGCAGATAACTCTGTTAAAGTAAACAGTTCAGTTATTACGAGACATAATCACTAACAAGAATATAGAAGACTCGACACATCTCGCGTAGTTTTGCGTTCACAGCAAAACTGTTTTACCGACTCACAATTGTAAGACTGAACGTAGTGCCCCCTATTCACGAACAGCGTTCAATTTAGGAACTAATTTAAAATGGTTGAAATGGGATTTGATAGAGCCACTAGTTATGTACTAAATGTATTTTTTCAGTCTGTTTCGCTAAAACTCTAGAGGCCCATTTCAGGGGCTAAATTATGTGTATGTATGTCTTATTGTGCCAATTATTCGGAATGTTCGATTAACATTTATTCTTTTACTTTCTAGTCTTGACAAACACTCCTTCAAACTGGAACAAAATGTTAAGAAGATCGTGCATCAAATTGCAAGGGAATGATTGTAAGAAGGCTTTAATCTTCGACTTCCGGATGATTTTAACGAGTCATTGGTTATTTGATGGTCAACAATGGTTGGATTATGGTCGTAGATGGTCAACAATGAGGCTAACATCAAGGTCAACGAAATCCAGTGAAGCCCAAGAAAATGCCAAGAGGTAGGACCAATGAAATACATTCACTATTGTAGAAGTTATGATCGTTCGAAAATTGGGCAATTTTTATGGGAGTTTTTCTCACTTTACTGGGTTAAGGAAGAACTTTTCGAACATTCTTAGAATGTATAAACTACGCTTTTTGTCCATCAAACTAATTCAGTGAATAGTTTCTCAACTGACCGCCATCCACGAGAAGAGGGCGCTGAAATCTCCTCCGAATGATGAGGTCGGTATGGTAGTCAGATTGGGCCACGAATGTCCATAAGATGTAAGGTCTACTCGTATATCTCATCTGTGGTGTAAGGTCTACGTCGTCTGTGCTTATGGCAAAGAGTCAATATCCGTTTAACACTTATGAAAGTATCGATATCTGTTTGATATTCATTTGAAATCTCGACAAAAGTATCAGTACTAATTTTAATATTGATATCTTAAAAATATGTGTATCAACACTTACAGTGCCACACAAAAGTTTTTTTTACAGGAAAACGAACTTCATTTTATTGGTGTTTTAATAGTGTTTTCATAAATTCTATATTGTACGTATACATATATACATAATTTCAGTTTCTTGTAAAAGTATACATATTGTATCTGATTCCTGAAAAAAAATAGTTTGCCGATCTCAGTAGCTGTGCTTTAATATGAGTTACTATGGTACGACGGTAAGTACTGTTTTTTTCTACGCCGCGTAAATTTAAATTGTTAACCGAACAGGATACTTTATGAACTTTTCCAATTAACGCTAACAATGTCTAAATACTATTATTTATATTTGTTTAAAAGTATCTTTAGATTGTTCATTATCGTTTAACATCAATTAGTTCTGTGCAACCAACTATTATACCACTTACGGTATAGTGATATTTACATTCCATAATAGTGACTTCACAAACTAGATAATACGAAGAATGGGGAAAAACTGTTTTTCTTCGAACGTCTATTATGTATTTTTGTATCATTATGTAGTTTCAATGATAAAAAATATATTCGCGCACAACTATCGCGTTGCAATGTAATATAAACGTCTTTTAGCGCCAATGAAGTCGGGTCAAGTGAGTAATTGAACTCGGGAAATGATTCTAAATTATAAACACTTGGGAATCCGTATGGTGGCGTACTTAGAAAAAAAAGATAAAAACTAATAGTGGCTTACATGCGTATAATAGTTTTATTAGTTCTAGATTTTGTTTGTAGTGGTAATAGTATTAACACTTTGGCTGTTACGTCATTATGGAACTAGAAAAATTCATTTTCAAGTTGAGATGTTCAGGGAAATAAATTTGGCCAGGCAAGGTTACAAAAATAAGTACTGAAACAAATTTTAGGTTATGTAGCTTACAATGTGTTGGTACGTTAGCTATCATGTTAGCTACTTTAAATATTGTTTAATAAGACATTAAAAAGTGCTGTTATTGCTAGCAGTACATACTATAAATATTGTTAATACTATTGTAGTATCGAAAACGTTATATTTCGAGCGAGTGGATCTAACGGTTGGCGGCGTAAATGACGAGTGTTTGGAACGGTGCGATTGAAAATCGAGAGGACAGGTTATGTTAGGTTATGAGATTTTATGATAAACATGGAGGTTTTGGATGCTTGGTGATGCATGACATGAGTGTATGTTTTAGACTAAAAATACTGTTTTTGTTAACAACTACATTGAGGAGGATCTAAAATTGGTGGTTGAAATGTTTATAGTAATAAACTATGCTTATACACTTTTTATTGGTTTTTTGGAAAACATAATGTCAAGATTAAAAAGTTCACACGTTTTCCATGCACGATGAGTTTTGATAGTCACACGGTGAACACGATATCTGGTAATGGTATAACCAGCTGATCCGCGTGAAACCTTGAAAAGCACAGTGATAACAATTTGTCACCGCTAGCGTCTACCAGTTTCTCGGTGATAAGACGATAGATCGTAGATAACAGTTGTACTGGCCGTGACCAGTTCTCCGTCTCCGTGTTAAATCGTGCGATATAAATGATAAAAGAAACAGCTGAATGCGTGCAATTAATTACTGCTAGTTTACATCATTCGGTTTCGCAATATAGACCAGCGATTAGAAATGAAACCCTAAAAAGGAAAGGAAATTTTCACGGCTAAAATATACAGACGATAATTTGTATTATTTTTATTGCAATTCATTCGTAATTAAGTAGTATTTACAAAAGAATTTTTGTTTAATATTCTTTGATCGCAAGGGTAAATATTTAAAAAATGTAAATTGGAATATTTCACCTCTTTCTGTTTATCACATCATTTGCAAAACGGAGTGCAGTAAATATCATTTAATTATTAGTATGACGGATTTTGATTGATAATTTAATTTGCTAAGAAGCTATCTTTACAAAATTTTTTTTATATACAATATTATTACTTTGTATTTAGTATTGAAAATCTAAACGATTATAATCGTAATTCTTTGTTCTTGATTATCTCGAGGAACAAAAGAATTTTGTTTATTTTTCTTCCCTATCTCATCACCTATCTCGTTCCGTGAACTTATCAAGATTTATTCTTTTCCTGGCAATTAAAATTACAAATAAATATCGTTCTATATCGAAGGAGATTCGACAACTTTTCGTTTGTTAATTTTTTATATTTAACTGTTGTTAAATATTGTTCAGAAGCACTGAAGAACAGTTTTCTTTATTCTTAAAAAAGGGTTTTTGATTTGCGTAAATAACCTAATTTTGGTAAATATTTACTTGATGGGACATGTACTACGATTTTGATGATTTTGAAATACGTTATAGAAAATAAGATTCTGAACAATTTTGTCCTATACATGTAACCACAGCACGGTATCAGTTTCCGAGATATTTGCAAAATTACTTCCGGTCTATCACATTTCATTTTGCCTATACGTACGCGTTATAGCAACGTGTGCGTTAACGTTCGTCCGCTACTTATCTGCTGTTTCTATAAACATCATCGCAGCGGCCGGTGACCAAAATAATATAACGGGTGAACCAAAAACAGAGTGAATTCTACTATCTGTGAACTTCGGTTTGCCTAATGGTGGCTTGAATAATAAATCCATCTAACCCCAATCCATCTGTGGCGTTGCCTCCCATGTTCGCCACCAGAGGGATCGCGCTCTCACAAGCGCTCGACCGACCCCTCATTTGCTATACAGGATGTTCAGTCAACCCTGGGAAAAATTTTAATGAGAGATTCTAGAAGCCAAAATAAGACGAAAATCAAGAATACCAATTTGTTGATGGAGGCTTCGTTAAAAAGTTAATAACAATTAAATTCAACAATTTCAAATCGTTCGGGAAAAATTATTTTCGGCTGCGGGGGTCAATTACAATCATTTTTTATCATTAGACATACCCTCGAAATCCTACCCACTTTTTAGAAACAAATTCGAGAATGTGAAATTTTTCGACGGAAAAAAAAAATTTCAAATCGTTCTGGAAAAATTATTTTCGGCTGCGGGGGTCAATTACAATCATTTTTTATCATTACAATTACCCCCGAAATCCTATCCATTTTCGAGAAAAAAAATCGGGTATGTGTTGAAATTTTTCGGCGAAAAAAGAATTTTTCAAATCGTTCTAAAAAAATTATTTTCGGTTGCGGGGGTCAATTACAATCATTTTTTGTGAATAGACATACCCCCGAAATCCTACCCACCTTTTAGAAAAAGATTCGAGAAGGATGGCCATTTTTTCCCCAAGGATGACCGAACACCTTGTATACGTATTATGTTATAATATAGTCTAAAAGCAATATTAACATAATTTTCTAATTAGGAGAAGGAAAAGGAAAAATTAAAAGTGATAAATAGATGTGAGTATAAGTTTTATTTCTCATTGTTTCAACATTCGTTTTATAAATGTTCCTAAACTACTTCAACAAAGTAACGTATACGCAAAACTAACCTCTTCGTAAATTTAAATTCTAACTTATTTCTTTGTAATATAAATATATACAAAATGTCATGTTAATGTATAAAAACTTGCTATGAATAATGTTAAAAATGTCACTTATGTTACAACTTTACGATTAATATCATTATAAAGGCAGTTCAGCAAGGTTTGGTTAAGCATATAATAAATGTATTTATAATAGCGTAAGAATAACAGTATGTGTTTATTTTTCGTCTCGAAAACTTGGGAAGATCTTCGCTGTTCCAAAATATCCTCGTCGATAATATTGTACTTACAGAGATTCGCCTAACGATTCCACCGAAGAAAACGACCCTGATGAAAATGGGTTAAAGACCGCGAGCCTTTCCCCATCCGTCTTTCAAGTTCTCTCGAGAGGTACGCGTGCACTCCTACTCAGCATCGCGGAGATACACTTATGCAGGATTCATGTATATGGTGCACCATATAACCTCCAACCTCTGTAGCCATTCACGTGATTCGCACGCTTCTGTACGTGTTGCTGTTTTCGTAATACACGCTGTCGTGCACGTGAACCCTTACGGGCTTCTCGATTCCGACATGTATAAATCACACTACGCCTATTCACCAAACTAAAACTGAACAACTGCGAAACTTCGTATACTGGGTGTAAAAATTATTCGTCCAAAATTTTTATTCCATAACGAAGCTGATTGAATATTTTAAACGAACTGAAATTTTTGATCAAATCGAGTTGACAAAATTCTTTAAACAAACAAACACTAACAAAATTAACAAAATGGCAGAAACGAACGGTTAATAAAACTTCGTACAGTTAGTTTCAAATAATTTATTTAGAAACATTATCCAGAATTGTTGCAGTAAATTTTTTAAACAAACTGAAATTTTTGATGAATTCGAGTTGACAAAATTGTTTAAACAAACAAACACTAGAACGATAACATTAAATAAGTAAGAAGAGTATTCGTATCGTTCGTATTAATGAAATTAACAAAATGGCAGAAACGAACGCTAAATTTTGTTGTGTAAATATGTATTATAGAATAATATTTTTTTATACGAGTTTCATTTTTCCAATAAAACGACTTCAAATATTTGTCGAGTATACATGCACGTAGTTTTGAAGGCGTATGATACATTTTTTATTTTAGGAATTATTGTAAATGCCGACCACTTTACCGAATACACAATTCTCTTTTTGCTTTTGTTACGAACGCTTTCTAGTGTATTTTACTGTTTTAATTTGTCAAACGCTAAGCTAACCTTTTCTTATAATTGCCCGACGCTTGTTATTTCTTCGGGATACACAATTAATTTAATGTGACTTCGTAAAAAAGTCGGGCGAGGTTAGGTCAGGAAGGCGTGGTGGTCGAGCTTATTATTCCACTATGACCAATCCCAACCTGGTAAATACTGCGAGAAAGATAAGATCGTAGGACTAATAGAAAAACAATTCGTATCGTCGGGAACGTTTCTAAACATAAACAGTTATTTGTGACAAAATTTGTCAAGTCGAGACATAATCAAATGCCCGTGTACCTGACGAATATTTAAAATCTAAATAAAAAGACTGAAAAGGGAAGAAAAGAAAGTTAGTACTATTGTGTTATTTGTAAAAAGTGTACATAACTGTGTGTGTCGATGATGGAGTGTTTAGGCTAATAATAAGATCAAATTCATATCGATGAGTAAAATATTTAGGTTTGGGCTGAAAGATGTTCGGGGGTCCTCCGCGTTGGTGGCCATTTTGTTTATGAAAGATATGCATCGAACTTCGATCGAGAGTAGTCGCTTATATTTTTCTGTTATCGTAATATTAAACAATATAGTTAATACAGTTAAATTTAATCACACGCCTGTAACCATCCCTGACACCCATATAACTATTTCATTAGCAAAAGGAAAGAATTGTACAGGTTTTATATTGCTATTTACCATAGGTTCAAAAAGTGGAATAAATTAATAAGATTGGGGTATATATTGAGATTATTCATTGTACACTTATAGTCTGCTAAATTGCTAGGAACTTATTAAAGACGACTAAAGAAATCCATATTCAAAAAGTCGCAACTTTGCCCTACTAACCTCCAAAACTATACGTATGCATTGGTTACAACGGTGAACCATAGTCAGATATGATCCATAAAGAAGAAAAAGGTGCAAACTTTGTTGGGACTTTTGGTTAGGATTTCGGCGAAATTCGCCGTGGCGCGCCACGAACACAACAGAATGTTTCTGATCCGATTAATCCGATCCCACGTGACGAGCTGGGAATTACCTAGATGCGGTTGGCAGTTCAATGACTCGGGCCGAAGAAGGATAAAGCACGTCGACCAGACACCCGAGATTAATTTCGTCATACACGATCGTTTGGTGAAACCGGCGGCTGTACAGCTTTCTTTCTATGCGCGTTAACAACCCTTAAATTGGTCGCTTTGTCGCCGGCGACTACCGACACGGGGAACACAGGCGCGTAGCGGAGACCGATCGACCGACGCGACGCACGACGCACCGTTCTTAGGCTTAGTAACGTACCGACCATCGCGCATTGCACGTCGCGACGCGTTCCTAGTCGGACGCACTTCTGCTCCTTTCTGGCGGCGAGGAAAGAGAGAGAGAAGAGGCAAGGAACAACGAACGGACACGAGAGTTTTCGGTTGATTGTTGGATCCGTTTTCATCGGGGTCGTGGGACAGTTCTTCGAGGAACACGGAACAGAGAGGCTCGAAGGTAAGTCGCGTTCGAAAAATTTACTATCGTATTCGCCGGGTAGCGTTGCCGGCATTCGCGAAACCGAAGCTACGAGTTTCGTTCGAAACGACCAGTGCCCTGGACGATAATAGATGATATATATACATATACATGTATACACAGAGCCACGCACACACGATGCCGTTGACTTTTCGTCGATCGATTCTTCTGCCGTGTCTCGATAATTTCCTACGCGAAACTCGACGAACTTTTCGATTCGATTTGTCGATTCAAGGGAACGGATCGTAATTTAAATTCGTCGAACGGGCCACTTTCAAGAACGATCCTTGAGGAGAGCGAAGAAACTCGTAACTTTGTGTAACGTCTCGTGCAGAAATACGATCCGACAACCGTTTCAAAAATAGTGATAGTGACCTATGCCTAGTTCCATTCTACACGTTCGGGATAATACGGTGTTCAAACGGATCGTAGATTTACTAACTCGGCTAATTGTGTACGTTGGATGTCATAAGAGCTTCGACTTTGCTAGTTTAACGTTCGTTGAAAACACTGTAAATGTTTTTGGTTCACTTTCGAGAGTTCACTTGAAACGTGATCCTCTAATTGTTTCCATCAGCGTATTCTATACCGGGTGACGCATCTAAAAGACACCACTTTTATTATGTTTTCTGATTGGGATGATATGGCAAATGTTTCGATTTTAAAAATCAATGTACATGGATGTTTTTCAAATGAAAATACACATTTTCTCCTGTATGTTGTACCTGATGTGTGTAATAATATAAAGTTTAATTCGCCTTTGGATGCGAAAATTTTAAATCGAATATGAAATTTAGTTTCTTCGAGACTGCAGGTATCGATAACAATCAGGGTTTTCACCTTATCGTAATATTAAACCCAGAATGTCATAAACTTCATCCGACAGATTGCAATAATAACCCGGAAATTCTTTTATGCACAATTTTTCATAGATATACAAAAATATCAACTTTTAGTATCGTATATAAGAAAAAATATATTCACGTTATATTAAAATGATATTTTTTTATTGAAAATTGTACGTTCCAACATTCTCTTTTATCTGGTTTCATGAAAAAAAGTAACGAAACTTTTTAGAGTTTATGTTACAATTTAATTTTGTACAAACTTTAGTTTTTAATAACTTTATTCGCAGCCTTTTTGTTTTGTCGTTTCAAACATTTTCCATAAAGACTTGTTCAATATAACTATTATTACTTGGTCTTTTTATATTTAATTCTCAATTTATATTTTTAAAAATTATTTTTAGTATAAATTCTGCCTTCAAATAAAATGTATTATATTTCTAATTGAATTTGGAACTGAGAGGTTTATATTAAAACTTTGCGACTCTGTGGGCAATTCTGGCAACAATGGAAGTCGATCTGCGAGTGTAAATAAACATGTTTAATATCGCGCGACAAAGACATGCTCGAAGTAATGTCCTTTCAAAGGCGATAGATTGGGCGAGACGAACAACGACACGACTACAGCGCCCCCTTGTTGATAGTACTTATTTTAAAAATGATTTCGTATTTCCAAACCAAGGAATATGTAATACAATTAATGTGACGTTGACAACTTTGACAAAAATGAGTGAAAATTAAGTTTCCAAAATTATGAATCGTTCGACTCGAGTAATTTGTAGGTTTTGTGTTGTGTAAAAAAATTGTTTTATATAATTGTAATAATAAACAAGATATTTTATTTCGTTTTTGGAAAATTTGCAAATGTCTAAACGAAATAAAATATCTCTAACTATTACGTTCAGGCTCAGTTTGTAAAAAAATGTATCATTCCATTAAAACGGAAACACTGTTAACAATGTTAACCACCAAATCTTTGAAATATTTCTACCAACGAGATAAACCCTGCAACTTTTAAATAAAAGTTATTTACGTTAACTTTCTCACTTTGTATACCAAAAGTGGTTACAAACTTTTTTCATTTTTTTTTTTTTGCGTTACGTTTAATTTAAACGATTCGAAATTAAGTTGTTTCCATCGATTCTGATTGATTGAGATTTTTTCTGAATCACATATAAAAAATTTTAATTATATCGAATATCCTCTGGGGAAATTAAATGATTGGAAAACAGTCTAACTAATAGAATCGTACGTGGGATGTTTCATGAATGCGTATCATCCTTGCGTAAAGGCCAGCTACTCTGTATCGATCCAGTTTTAGTATAAGGTACTTTCGAAACGAGATTCAAGCAATAAACGTTTCTATTGTTCTCTGAAATTTAAGAATAATTTTGAGTTTACACGAGAGCACTTGTTAAATGAAATTTATAGTAAATTTTGAGCTGCTAATATTCGTTTAAGAAATGACAATAAATATAAAGCAGTGACTAAATTTATTAAGGGGATTTTCTTTGTTTTCTTTGGGGATTTTTTTTTAAATCTGTAGATTGTTTTTGTACATACTGTTCGGCCACCCCTTGGAAAAATTTTAGTGGGAGATTCTAGAGATCAAAATAAGACGAAATTCAAGAATACCAATTTGTTGATGGAGGCTTCGTTAAAAAGTTATTAACAATTAAAGTTAAAAATTTCAAATCGTTCTGGAAAAATTATTATCGGTTGCGGGGGTTAATTACTATCATTTTTGGTGAATACACATACCCCCGAAATCCTCCCCACTTTCGAGAAAAACATTCGAGAATGTGTGAAATTTTTCGACGGAAAAAAAAATTTCAAATCTTTTTGGAAAAATTATTTTCGGTTGCGGGGGCCAATTGCAATCATTTTTGGCGAATAGACATACCCTCGAAATCCTGCGCATTTTCGAGAAAAAAATTCAGTACGGTCGAAACTTTAAGCGTTAATAACTTTTTAACGAAGCCTCCATTAACAAATTGGTATTCTTGATTTTCTTCTTATTTTGGCCTCCAGAATTCCCCATTAAAATTTTTCCCAGATACTTTAGAAACGAACATTTTTTGCCTCTTAACAAAAGTTGTTTTTTTTTTTTATAAACAAAATACGATACAATATTAGTCGCAGAAGTATAATGATAGTTCACAAAGAGCAAATAAGTAATCATATCAGTGAAGACTATTGCGCGTAATGTTCAATTGATTTGTGCTGCCAGCTTTCTACATTTTGTCTCGCGTTGCCCAATGGGAAGTCGATTTTGCCTCACCTCTGACCCAATCTACTACACAATGATTCAGATATAGCCGTTTCGCATTCAAAGGAAAAAGCACGCTTCAATCAGAATTGGGAACATTTATATAGAATAATGTATAACAATTTTAAATTAATTCGTAAAGTAACGTTCATCCACGCTTCGTTCATAAATTAGAATCCATTAACGAATTTTCTTAAACCCACAGCCGGTCGAGGAAATATCAGATCAAAATATAAAATTTGCATTTGTTAGTTAAAATTAAAATATGTCGCGTAAAATATTCAATAAAGCCAACGTGTAGTAATTTATTTGAAAAAGAACAATTAAATTTATATTTCTTGTAAAATCATCGAAAATTTTCATTATTATTTACAGATAAACAGTTATTTATTTTTTATTTGTTATTCGAAATTTACATTCAGATAACAAAATTGTGGCACCAATTCGTGTTTTAACCTATAGAAAGTATAGTAATAATATAATTAAATTAGTATTTATTGTAAAATAGTTTCAGTCCATCGTCGAAATTTTCATTATTATTTACAGATAAACAGTTGCTTATCTTTTATTCGTTATTCGAAATACATATCCAGATAAAAAGTTGCGGCACGAATCGACTTCGTGTTCGAACGTATAGGAAGTCGAATTTGCTAGAACGGGCGAGATTTATCCGTCGATAAGGTAGATGTTTTTTTTGAGAAATCCTGCGCGCGCCTCTTCGAACGAGTTTCAAAACTTACAATGCGACGTGATGCAATCGTTAAATTGATTGCTCATTCTATTCCGTCACGTTTCCAGCGAAGCGTCGATAATACTCGACGACGCTATACTCTCGAGTGTGGATTATCTTGTACCGTTAAATTGATATTAATCGATTAGTGCGATATGTCACGGTACCTTAACACTGATTTAATTCGATGGATCATTCAAGCTCAATATTGACTGACTAATTTACGGTAATTTGCTATTATGTTACACGTGTTGGATCATCGTTCGTATATTAAACCGTCGATTCTTAATTAAATTTTGATGTATCACAGATCAGATACAAGGCTGTCTGAAAACGTTTCGCGTATTTCAGCCAATGTACACGACCTAGGAAACAATCAAATGTGTTTGTCCTTAATTGTAAATCACGTGGCCGGGATCCAGCACGTGAATCTTTTATGTAACCGAGCGCAAAGTCCCTATCGATCGTGAATCATTATCGAACGATTTCGAGAATGGCAACAGGCTTGTTAAGCTCCTTGTCCCTAATGCACATTCAGACTAGAGAAAATGTGGTTGTAACTAGCAAAAAACAGAAGAAAAATAACTAAAAATTACCATAGATTTTTACAAATAACATAATTATTATTATTTATATATCCATAAGTCATTATATTTTTATTTAAATCATACAGAATTTCCACTCGGTAGAGAAACATTTCGTAGCTCAGCAATTTCGTTTTCATTTCTCTGAGGCGTAAAGAGAAACTATAATTTTTACGTTTTATCTCCGAACCAAGTTGCATTATGAAGTCGAATAGTTTTTGCGAACGATCGTTCATCATAGTTAATCGCACCCATGTACTCTAACGCAGTATAGAAAGGTGTCCTGCACGATGACGATCTTAGGAACAAAATTACTCTGCCATTAAGTACGGTATTCCACAGTCGCCTTCGAAACATACGTTCGTGACCACCGCGTGCACTACTCCGTGAATTATGCAAGCCGGAATAATTCTGTCACGTAATGCTCAATTCGCTTTCATTGCATATCTCATGCAATGGTACTATTCGTGTTCCTTTCACGGTCTAACAAACTATGCTGGGAAGAACTGCAACGAGCAACCGAGCAATTATGTTTCCTATATTTTGTTTTACAGACCGTAAGATGATGACGAAGTGCGACAATTTCAGTCTGAGTTGACAAGGGTTCGTTTCAGAAGAGGCTACATAGATCAACGCAGAAACTAAAGCATCGTTGCAGCGAAACGTGTGAGAAGCAATCATGGATCCTTTCTCGTTGAGGTTAGTGTTATTACGGAAAGAAACTTGACGATTTAAACACGAACTAAATTCTTCGTCGAACTTGAAAGGCACAACGAGTTATAATTGCACAATATCAATACCCGCTAATAAGAGGCAATATATCGATCTAGATAACGTAAAACATTACATTAATTTCGGAAGCGTACTCAGCGCCATCTCGTGAAGATCTTTCTTCGACTGCCTTCAGCGGAACGCTTGCTTCTACTCTTCTCTCATTTCCGAAACCGACACCTCTTATCTCTTAAACATACACATTCGTCGCCCAACTGGAACGATCGCCCCAACGTACGTTTACAATTTTAACATTGAAATATAAAAATTGTATTCCCCGAATCAAACTATGCCCACAAAAATAGAGTGATGTTATTGGCTAAACCCACCTTTAAAAAACTATCACAGGTGCGATCCTTGAAATTTTTTAAGAAAGATTTTCGAAAGGTGGTTCCCAGATACTTTTTCCTCTTTTGTCGCGAAAGGTACACCTTGCCGTGAATGTTTTGTGAGGATATCCCTCAGGCATGGATTAAAAGGGGACTAAAGAGGGAGCTATTCATCTTTCAAAGGTCTTTATTTTTTCCAAATATCAAAGCAAGTTTTTGTAAATATTGAATAAAGTATTTTCGACTGGTCAATGTTCTTTCAATTACTCAATCATTTTTTAAATCTTTATTTCAACGGATACTAGTGACTTGCAAATGTCAAAAAAGGGTGTTTTCAAAATAATATTAAAGTCTCTTTATCGTTATTTCCTGTTACAAAAAGGTATAAAGGCTAGTACATGTTCTCTTACATATATTTGGGCATATTTTCCATTTTTTTATTTGTCCTTTCGTACAATGTGAATAAGAAACTTCGTATTTTCTTTTAATTTTGTTCTCGTAATCTCTTTGTGCCCCTTTAGAGGGGGCAACCGGGCGCAAATGATTAAAAATAACGGTTTTCTTTTTAAAAATATCTAACCATCCCTCTGTTCACCGATCTTCTTATCGAATCTCCCAATCGTTCTCCCAAGTCAGAGCCTGAAAAAGCTTAAGCCGGGCACTCGATCAAAGGATCCCATTGGGTGTAACTTGAGTCTTCGTTCGTTGCCTCCGCCTGCATTGTGACCTTTCCGAACGCAAAGCCTATTGTATTACACAATATTCGTCACAATACGGACAGAGAATATTCGACACTAAAAATTGTCTCTTTGTCGTCCATGGGACGTTTCTCTGGCACACCATAGGAATTGCATTCGAGCATTGAATTTAACTAACGATTCGTAACGGCGTTATTATCGAGCCACGATATGTGCAACTATACAACCGGCTATACAGGGTGTTCACGCTCTTATTAGTGAAAACTATTGTACTTGGAAAAAAACGAAAGAGGAAAAAGTTTTATGGTTTTTTATAATCAATAGGGCAGTGATTCTCAATTTTGCATATTTACATTATTTTGCGAGAAATGAACGTGATTTTGTAGGTTATATGAAAGTATGTGTCAAAACATAGAAGATCGAGAATAAAAGAAGTTTGAATATTTCGTAAAATTGTGTTTGTTAGAACTCTGTATTAGTAAAATTACAAAAGATGATACTTTCGTATGACATAAAAAAATATATGAAATTCCATCGAAAAAATTAATGGTCACCTTCATTTCTCGCAAAATAATGTAAATATGCAAAATTGATATACACTGTCCTAATGATTATAAAAAGCTATAAAACTTCTTCTCTCGTTTCTTTTTGATCACAGTAATTTTCGAAAAAAATCGCTGGAGAGCAATAGCGCGAACACCCTGCATAAAGTTCCACGTACCTGTCTCGCTAATGGCTTTAATTATTTATTCTTTATCGAGCTGTAATTTGAGCTAACATTAGATACTGTTGGCTACGCGACCAGACGCGCCATTGTTTCTTGGAAAGTGGTTCTCAAAGCTACGATCCTACACTACGTACGGCTTAGAGAAGAACCATCGTAAACGAAACCACGTGATTGAAAATAGACGAAAGGTCAGGAGGCTATATCCCGAATCGATACAGCACAAAATTTATACGAGTCACGGCAGGCTTGTCGATCGAATTACGTAATTTAGATTTCGATGATTTTTTTATGTCGAAGGAATTGACATCAACAACGTTTTCTCATTTGATGTTGGTCGGTCTTGATTTTGTTTTTTTAACTGTAGGTAGGTCATTGTGTATTGAGATTTTCTGGATATGTTTATTTATCCTATAAGTATGTACAGTATTTTTTTCGTCGAGAAATATTACAAATTGGTGGCTGTTGTAGCTTCGTTGACTTCCACCATTTCAGCCACGATTAAATTTGATACAAAGGGGGAGAAAGTAGCTTAATCAGGAAGGGTAACTTTATAGCAGGAACTAGGTAGAAGTCAAAATGTCGATAAATAAAAATATAGCGAAACTTTAAATTCTGAATTTATAATTTTTAATTTCTTTCTTGTGTTCAGCGGGTTAAACAAAAAATAAAAAACTAGATCTTAAAATATCATGGAAGATGTTTAAAAAAATAAGGTTTTGAGAAAAATGCATTTAAAATTTGAAATTTAAGAACCATTGCTTGTGAAAATTCTGTCTTACACTTGCATATTTTGCAAATCACAAGTGTAGATAGGTTAGAGAACACAGAGGAAAACTTTCAGATGTAACAAGTAATAATAAATATATTAAAAATTGTTGAATCGAAGTAAATGTTTTTGCACGCATATTTTCAAAGTCGACACGCTTTAAGGAAATGCGATAAAACAAAAAGCGATTCTTTTGAAATTCTAGACCGCAACAGCCACTAATACTTAAACACATGATTGGTAACCTAAGAAATATCAATTTCAAATCTAGCCTACTATGCATCGGCGCGATGAAAAATTCAGCGAATGATATTGTCGCAACTACGCGCATTATTGTGATTTCTCGGCTGTCCTTGAAAGCAGAACCTAAGCGAATCTGATCAGAATATTTTGGCGTGATTTTTTCGATCGTACTGTACAATCAAAGTCGGGAGAAAGTTAGTCGTTGGTTGTAACAGCAAGAATGAATTTTAAAAATTCCTAAAACAAAAAGATGGCGTGCAGTAGTGTGCACGTTTGCCAACGTTGGGAAAAGAAATATTTCCAACACGTGCATGTTTGCCAACATGGTTATGAGAAATATTTTTATAGAAAAACAATTATTTTTTTGAGAGAAATGTTTTTCTTCAATTACAAATAACGATTATAAATTTATTTTGTTTTAAAAGAACAATGCTATTTTGAGGGTTGAAGCACGCGTTAACCTAACCTTAAACTTTTAATTGATGAAATTCGTGAAGAGGCCCCAAATGTGACGGGATGATACGTTAACTCATGGCCAAACAAGTTTGTTACCATCTGTTCAATTTTAGGATTAACTTGTAATCTAAGATTACCTTCCGAGTGCTCTGGAACGTCCAAACAATTTTAAATTCAAAAACGTACATTGTTATCTGCGATACGTAACAGAACAAAAACTATCTATTTATAATTTTTCAAAAATTGTATACAATTGCGTTTATTAATAAACTTTGATGAAACAAGAGAATGTAAGGAACGAAGATGCACGTGGCTTTTACGAAAATAGCGACAAAAATGTACAAATTGGCATAGACAGCAATTCCTAACGATAACAGTTTATTCAGAAAACTTATTAATGCAATATTGGTCAAATTTATAAAAAATAATTATTATCAAATTACATAATCTCTGAAATTGTTCGTATTACAAATAATAGAAAGGATTTTAAAAAAATTTCAAGTTACGAGTATTTTGTAAAAATCTGAAAGGTGTTTCAAACAGAAATCGAAATTAAGTAGCCTGTACCAAATTTTTGATAGAAAAATTTAAAAAATTTTTGATATCTTTACCATAACTGAAATGTAAAAATTTGTAGAGCATTGGGAAAAGGTTGTAGGATTAATTGCTGTTTTGTTGAATGAAATTACATTGCAAGAAAGTCGCGAGTGTAGTTTGTAGTATATTAAAGTACCTAATAATTAAAATCGTCTGATCAGCGCGTTACAAAGGCTCGTTAAAGGAGTCGATCGAAACCGGTAGCATTCTTCTGCTATGATATAGGAAATACCACTATACCGGTAGGCGTTCCACTTCTGGGTCAATTTGCAATCCACCAGCGAGTAGGGCAAACACTGTTACTCCGCGATAAGTAACTGTGTATGTAACTGGTGTTCTAATCTAGGATCTTAAAATAAATTAATTTTTTTTAAATTTCAATTTCTGAAAGCGTACATGTCGAACATATTTTTGCCAATGGCAAACATTTTTTAAACACCCCTTAATACGTTGAGTGCCGTGACGGTCACCGGTGACCGCTCTTTTGTCTCGCGAGTTAAAATAGAAAGTTATTTAAAAAATTTTTAAGCAGAGACTTCACCCGTTAAAATACACCCTTTCTTCTAATAAAGTTACAGTCTCAGTCAACAATTTTTCAGTGGAAATTTAGTGATCCTTGTAGACCAGTAAACAAAATTAATTTGTTATGTAACGTGGGTTTTTTTTAAAGGAAGAATTGTAATATTCTAATAAGATTTAAGTATGTGGAATCAGAGATTCTCCATACCTATAAGAGAAAAGGAATCATTAACATAAGGAAAAGTGAGGTTTGTGTTAGCTCAGTGAGTAGGACGATTGGCTAGCAATCTGAAGATCGCAGGTTCGAAACCCCGGCGTCCGGTTCCCCCATTTTTCTTCCTTGACTCCTACAAATGTATTATAAGGATTTTTCGATTTTCATCCATCGTTTGCCACCTGTACGTCGCTAGAAATATTGATGCAGTCAGGTTCTATGGACTTGTATTATGAATCTTCTGAACGAATGATAAATGGGGGTACAGAATACATCAAAAATCTCTGAAATTGAGGAGGGGATAACATTTGTAATTTAATAGAAAACAAAGAAAAAATTCATAGGGATTTCTGAAATTTGAAACTTAACATCAAAAAAA